AAGAGAACAGACAAAATACAAATCTCGCCTCTTACTCTGCCTCCTTTCATAACGTGCAAGTGGGCTGTTAAGGCACCAGGGGATGTGGGCAGGTGGCGCTTAACCATCATCAACGTGGCAAGCCCTGTACATGAGAGGCACAGTAAGAGGGGTGTGTAAGAACAAATAAACTGGGAGGCCTCCCAATGATAATAATGGTGAATATAGTCAAGAAAATGACATAATTGATCTATTGTCTGTCATATTGCTAACTGTCTCATTGTTGGGTAACCCCGCTTAAGTATGCTGCATTGCTTGCATAAAGGTCAGGTTCCTATGATGTTGGATCTACTTATGTAGGCATTGCTTGCATAAAGGTAATGTCGCATACCGAAAAGGTGCAGACCAGAACCAAGAACCGACCTCTCTCAGATAGAGCAATATAGCACAGCGGAAGACTGTAATACCAATGATCAGACCAATCAATGTCGGGGTACAGACAGGACATACATCATCATCATCACAAGGTGTGCAGGGCCTGGTGCCACACACAGGAAGAATGCACCAGGCTCGAATCATACACGGATGAGGAGGAGGGAGAAGAGACGAAGAAGAGGGGGAAGGGGAGAGAATGTCGTCAACCCAGATGTCGCCAATATCGATCCCCAAACAGTCCCGCACAATGTCTCGGTCCAAATGTCAAGTCTGAATCCAAATGTCGCCAACTCCCAGTGTCCCAAATCTGTCTCTCCCTTTCTCTCACTTGTATTCTGATGGCACTGAGAAGACAGATCGCTGGAGGGTGAGGAGGAGATGGTGGACGAGAGGAACCAGAACTGTCTCTCTCTCTCTCTCTCTCTCTCTCTCTCTCTCTCTCGGTCTCAGATATTGACCTGCTTAAAGGTGGTGCCTTGATGCAGGTACGGACGTGCTGATGACAAAGCTGGAGCTATGGCGCCTCAGGTAAGTCTCAGGTGAGTCCTCCGGCCTCCTCCACTCTCCTCTCCCTAGCGCTACCCTAAATCCTAACAGCGCCCTGCGCTGGAAGACTAAGCCTATCGTCGACTACTGTAGCCGCAGCATCGAGTGCTGCTACGAATGCCTGAAGACTGAATGCTGCCTCCTAGGTGGACCAGCTATATATAGCGCTGGTCCGGCCGGCAGGCTGCTCTTCACAAATGCCGAACGGCGCCAGTCCCTGGCGCCCAAAAGTTTGGCGCCTAAGTTGGCGCCCGGGCTTCAAATGGCCTGGGCGCCTATTGGGCCTATACCGGGTCTGGCGCCAAAACGGCGCCGGGGCCTACCTATGGCCTACCGACCTACGGGGTCTATCTAGGCTGAAACGACACAGGCCTGACGGGCCTCTACCTAAGCTGAACCGACACAGGGCCTGAAGGGCCCCTACCTAACTCCTGTCCTGCCTGGTCGGGCCCTGCGGGGGGCCCGTGTGGTGCTTAGTATGCCCCCCCCCCCCTTCCTTGAAAGACCGAGCTTACCTGCAAGGGCGGAGCTGTCTGTCGGAGGGTGGGACGGAAGTCCTGGTGGGAGGGGCAGGTCGTGAAGCTTCCAAAGCCAGTCTTTGTCGTTCGTAGTGAGCGTAGATCATTGGTGCGGATGCTTGCAAATCTGCGCATGAAATCCACCGGGTGTCATCACGATCGCATGCTTTGAAGGTAACTTTGTACTGTCGGGGCTTGTTGCCGTACTTGCGATCCGTGATGAGGCGGTTGACTTCCTGATGACCATCCATAGAGGGAGGGTCTTGCGATCGTCGGCCCGGGAAATCGTCGCTCTTAGCCAGTGTATATGCAGCGAGCTTGGAGGCGTGGAAAACCGGGTGAACTGGTAGATGCGGCAGAATCTCGACCACGAATGAGGGGCCATCGGGCTCATTTCCCGCGGCTGATGTTACGGTCCAAGGTCCAAACCACTTGGGGAGTAGCTTGCGCCAGATGTCTTGCTCGAGCACAAACTCTTCCCCGGAAACCCAAGCCAGGTCGCCGGCATGGATAGGACATGGTACGAGACGCTGATTGGCTTGCTGCTACATGCGAACTTGAGCCCTTCGCATGTTTATGCGGGCTTTAGCCAGCAAGTTCCGGTATTTCCGAACAGAGGCAGGAGAGCAAGGGGTGTCAGCAGTCCGTGGGAGTAGGAGATCAGCGAAGATACGACCCTTCCGGCCACTGTGGTGCAACTCGAAGGAAGTCACGCCGATCGGTGGATGCAACGAAGTGTTGTAGGCGAACTCGATGTCGGGGAGGCGGTCAACCCAATCCTTCTGGTTCCGATAGATGAGCGTACGAACCATCATTTGAGCGTTTTGATGTGCCTGCTCTGTTTGCCCGTCCGTTTGTGGATGCCGAGGCGAACTCGGTTTCATTTCGGTGTCGGATTCCTTTATGAGAGAAGTCCAAAGAGTCGACATGAAGCAAGTGTCGCGGTCGCTAATGATGTCTTCTACCGTGGCTACAAATCCAGCCGGTGTGCAAGAGGCGCGCGAGCTTGGGAGCCGTGGCGTAGTACTTGCAAGGAAGGAATCGCGCGTATTTACTCAATCGGTCAATGACCGTGAGGATGTCGTCGTGCCCGAGGCGGTCGCAGTGAAACAGGCCGGTGATGTCCATGGCAATGGAGAGGCCGGTTTCCCGTGGGATGGGCAACGAGCGCAACTCGTCGTACAGATTGCGATTGCGGGGCTTGCTGCGTCTGCAAACTTCTCAAGAGTCGCAATACCGAGTGATGTCGATAATGAGGTCAGGCCACCAGAATCGTTGCTGAAGTCTTGCGATTGTTCGGTTGACTCCGAAGTGTCCAGTGAGTCGTGAGTCGTGGTACTCGCCGAGGAGGCCAGCCCGGAGGCGACGGTCTTGTGGGACGCATAGTAAGTCCTTGCCTCGCGAGTGGAGAAGGAAGCACCTGTCGATGATGCGATAGTGGCTGGCCGGTGGGTGATCCGAAGATGGTTGCGCGTATAGCATGGCGTAATCCGGATCGGATTGGTAACTCCATTTGAAATGTCGTTGGAGTTTCTCGTCGAATGCAAAGGCGTGATGTGTCATGGCGCAAAGATTGGGTCTTCACGAGAGTGCATCGGCTGCCTGATTGGAGAGGCCGGTGAGATGTTTTGGTGTGAAGTCAATTTGGTTGAGGAAGTACATCCATCGTCTGATAGTGCTGCTCACCGTGTCTTGCGTCTTGTAGTAGGTCAACGGGTTGTTATCAGTGACCCATGTGAACCTACGTCGCCCAAGGTGGAAGTGTCGCCATCGCTTGAGAGCCATCACGAATGTGAGCAAGTTCTTCCTTGCATCATCAAGTGAATTGATGGGAAGCACCTTGTGGCCGAAGTTCTCCATGGGATGCCAGTCGTTGTTTGCAAGACTGCCCCAATGCCATAGCCAGAAGCGTCGGTTGTCACTTTCGTTGGCAAGGTGGGGTCGTAGATGC